GGGTGAGCGTCCTTGGACGGTGAGCTAGATAGATGTATAGATATATCAAATTCTCTTCATCAAACATTTATTAAAGTATAGGAAGAGAAATTATTATGATATAATACAACTTCTAATGCTGAGCTCTCACAGCAGAGAATTCCACAAGGTTTTTGTACGATTAATTATTGCAGCCACAACAGTCATGATTTTCGCGGAATTTTTTTTCGCGAAAAAGTTTGTGAAATAAGAATTTTCGCGAACGTTTTTGTTCGCTAGGAAACCCTAATCTTGAAGGCTTGATCAGTTAAGAGATTTGAGGCTAAATGCTTGGTCTCTCAATTCAAGTTATTCCTTCTTATGACTCATTCAATATGGTAGGTACCCTGTTCATCTTTATGACAACCGGACCGCAGGATGTCGAAATAGATTAAAATTATGTTGTCTGGTCTGTATTTATATATGGAGATTAATAGATTAAAATTATGTTATCTGGTCTGTATTTATATATGGAGATTAATAGATTAAAATTATGTTGTCTGAGCTGAAAACTTTAGAATGGTGGATATCGGGATTAATGCTTGATCCTCTCTTTTTGATTATCTCAAGATTAACATAATCTTGCAAGATTATCTTAAAAGTGTATGAAACACTGTAATCATCTGAGAAACTGTAGCAGCCAATCAGAGAAAAGCGGACAACCAATGGGAGAACAGAAATATTCTCATTGGAGAAAACAATTAACGGATATCCAAGGAGAGAGATAAAGAGTGGATTAGGACAAAAATGAAAAGTTTCCACAGTGGGTATCCGGATCAAGAAGTCAGGATTAAAGTTTATCTATTCTAAAGTTCCCAGCTCTGGTCTGTATTTATATATGGAGATTAATAGATTAAAATTATGTTGTCTAGTCTGTATTTATATATGGAGATTAATGTTTGAGTTCCAGATTTACAAAACTGTTGTAAAGAGTAACAACGTTAATCAGCTTGAACGCTTGATCTCCTTATTCAATGTGGGCCCTTTTAAATTTAAGGATCAATGCTAGCGTGATCTTTGAATTAACATTATCTATGCTGGGTATGACTACGGAATATCTGAGAGGAAGTGATCCGTAAGTCTGCATAAGAAGGAGATTAATGCTTGAACCCAAGATTCAAAACATAAAAGTTTTGAATTTTTGCAACATACATATACATAAAAAACTTATCCAATCATGTAGATTTTCAAATGTATATTATATCAAAAACATAAAAAATTAAAAATTTATTTATCTACATTGTTCACCCATGCAAACATAAATCTAATATGAAAAAAACAGCCCTAAACAATATACATAGCTGTACAAAGAATTCTGACTGCTGAAGATCCTCGTTTTTTTGAATAAAATGTGAAGTTATATTATATATATATATATATATATATAAACAACATTGTTTATCTAATTTACTGTAGTCATTCTGACCACAAAGATTCTAGCTGGTATGTAGGATCAGCAGTAGATATGAAGAAAAGATGGAGGAACCATAGGTCAAATTTTATTAATATGAAAACTACCAAATCTGGCCTTGCTCAACATGCTGCTCTTCAACACCCTATGGTAGAAAATTTTAAGCCAATTACTATTCTAAAAGTAAATTTTCTTGAAAGTGTACAAAAAGAAGAAAAGCTACTAAGTAGAGAACTGTGGTGGCAGTACAATCTTGGTACGCTCCAGGTTGGACTTAAAAAAAGAAAAGATACAAGAGCTGTGAGCCTTCAAACCAGCCGACTTACATGTTAACTATAAAATTGTAAAATTATTAGATTATATAATATTTTGTCATGTTGTTTGGTATGTTCATTTAAATGTATAAACTATGGAAGGCTACCAAAAGAGGACGATGATGCTTTCTATTTTATTGCTTTCTATTTTCTCAACTTTCCTTTTGCTCTTTGCTTTCGCTATTCTTGAGTTTACAGACCAGCTTAGAACCATATGGATCCCTATGTTGGTTAACTTTCAACCAAACTAGTTTTAACATCTTCCAACCAAACCAGTTATAGTATCTTTCAACCAAACCAGTTATAGTATCTTCCAACCAAACCAGTTCTAGTATCTTCAAACCATACTAGGTCTAACATCTTCCAACCAAACTAGTTCTAGTATCTTCCAACCAAACCAGTTATAGCATCTTCCAATCAAACCACTTCTAGCATATTCTAATCAAATCAGTTCTTATTTTCCAACCAAACTAGTTCTAGCATCTTCCAACCAAACCAATTTTAGCATTTTCTAACCAATCCACTTTTAGCATCTTCTAGCCTAACCAGTTCTAGCATCTTATCCAACCAAACCAGTTCTAGCATCTTATCCAACCAAACCGGTTCTAGCATCTTATCCAACCAAACCAGTTCTAGCATCTTATCCAACCAAACCGGTTCTAGCATCTTATCCAACCAAACCAGTTCTGGTATCTTCCAACCAAACCAGTTCTATCTTCCAACCAAAATAGTTCTAGCATCTTCCAACCAAACCATTTCTAGCATTTTGACCAACCAAACCAGTTCTAGTATCTTCCAACCAAACCAGTTCTATCTTCCAACCAAACTAGTTCTAGCATCTTCCAACCAAACCATTTCTAGCATTTTGGCCAACCAAATTGTTCTAGTATCTTCAAACCAAATTAGTTCTAGTATTTTCAAACCAAACTAGAACTAAACCAGTTCTACCATCTTCCCCAAGCAAACCAGTTCTAGCATATTCCAACCTAACCAGTTCTAGCATCTTATCCAACCAAACCAGTTCTAGCATCTTATCCAACCAAACCAGTTCTAGTATCTTCCAACCAAACCAGTTCTATCTTCCAACCAAACTAGTACTAGCATCTTCCAACCAAACCATTTCTAGCATTTTGTCCAACCAAACCTGTTCTAGTATCTTCCAACCAAATTAGTTCTAGTATCTTCCAACCCATTCAGTTCTAGCATCTTCCAACCAAACGAGATCTAGTATCTTCCCCAAGCAAACCAGTTCTATTATCCTCCAACAAAACCAGTTCTAGCATCTTTCAACTTAAACTAATTCTAGCAATTAGCTATCAACTTTCAACCATACCAATTCTAGTATCTAATATATGATATGAATTATTACTTTATTCCAGAAGAAAAACTGTATTGAACATGCTGCTACAAGAAGAAAGACGATCTTCCTTCAATTAATTACGGATTTGCTGTCTTCAATATGAAACCTGAATACTCACTACTCGGTCAGAATGAAGATCTTCCATCAACTGATGTTCCTTTTTCAACCTCACTCGGTAACACTCAATAAATAATAGATCTTATTTAATGGGAACGAGTTTTTGCAACAATAATACCTGAATATAGTTACCTTTTATATTTCAAACTATTTAATCTAACAGAATTCATTGTTTGAAATATCTAAGGTCTACCACATCAGGTTGCAAAGAAAAAGGGGTAAGAAAATCAGAGATTGAAATGAAAACTGAGTTCCTTCGTCTCTTAATTGTTTTCCATTTCTTTTTCAAATGTTTGTATACTTTGTAATACGTGTTCGGCAGTTTTCTTACATTCATTGTTCATAATTTTCTCAGCATTCTGTGAATCTTATTTTATGAGTTATAGTTAACCATTTTTAACCATTGTGTTTTTCTAGGTGTCACGTTCAGCATTTTGTCTTATTTCAGGAGATATGTTTAGCATTTTGTCTTATTTTAGGTTATTGTTGTTCAGCATTCTGTCTTATTATAGGTTATTGTGTTCAGCATTTTGTTTTATTTTAGGAGGTATGTTCGGCATTTTATCTTATTTTAGGTGTTATGTTCAGCATTATGTTATATTTTAGGTGATATTTTCAGCATTTTAACTTATTTTAGGAGATATGTTCATTGTTCAGCATTATGTTATATTTATAAATCGTAATTTAGACCCATTGACGCGGTCTAATTTGATGTGGGACACCCTTTTTGTTCAGCATTTTGTTATATTTTAGGAGATATGTTCAGCATTTTGTTATATTTTAGGAGATATGTTCAGTTTTATGTTATATTTTAGGAGATATGTTCAGCATTATGTTATATTTTAGGAGATAT